CTATCATAGGCTCTGCTTCAGCTCCAGTTTCCTGCCTTGAGTTCTTGACCTGACTTCCCCTCAGTGATGGAGTATGACTGGAGAGTTGTACACCAAAATAAATCCTTTCTTCTCCAAGGGTTTATTGGCCCTGCTTTTGGTCATGGTGTTTTATCATAGCAATAGAAACCCTAAGTCAGTAACCAACTGCCAAGCAGCACTTGGCTTTCTCTATGATATTTACAGCTTTGTACCCTGTCCCTATCCAACTCCTGTCTCAAATGAGCCACTTGAACATCCAGAGGAAAAAAGAAGAAGAAGAAGAAGAAAGAAGAAACTCTCTGAAATATTTGCAGTGGCTTGGGGATATCCATTATCCATTATCAAGCTTCAGAAATGACCTCTGGGGATTTTAAGCCTTAAAAGAATCTTTTTGAGCATGAGCTGCTATGGAATCATTCTTTTTCTTTTTTCTTTCTTTTCTTCTTCTTCTTTTTTTTCTTATCCCAGGTTAGAAACAGATTTTAAGGCAACAGATGTCATAATGTTTGACTTGCTCACCTTCAAGAGAGGCATATATCAGCCCAAAGCATTACCTCTGACTTTCTCTTTTCAAGGACAAGCAAAACCGGAGTGGTGGGGCCCCATCCTACCTCTGATCATTCCAGTTGAAAATTCTCCAATTGTTCAAGTAGAAAAATAAAACCATCAATGAACTAAGCCATTGGGGAGCACAGGTGTCCACTATAAAGTGTCCCTCTCACAAGTCCTCTCATAAGTGGGCCAGGTAAGATCATCACAGGATCCCAAAGGAGAAGCATCCAAGTAGTGGACATATTCATGGCATGCTGGAGGCAAGAGGCAGTCACCAGAATATCAGGGCCTTCTATAGAAAGACACACAATGACCTTGTGACGAGGTAAACTATGCCCTGGGAGGCCAATAGACACAAACCAAAAAAAGATTTTCCACTGCTCTCTGCAGAAAGACCTTACCATCTGTCACATTCAGATATTTTCAGCCACACTTTTGTACAGGAATTACCACAGTGTCAACAGTATCATACTTGACAACAAAGGACAACAGTGACAAATCTTAGGGCCCTTTGAATGGGAAGATAGTGTTGTTAGCCACTGTGAATGCCAGAGTTTTTTGTTGTCAGCAGAGCTTCTTGAGTTATTTATGCCTGCAGTGACTTGTATTAGACCACCCCCGCCCCTTTTAGCTGCTTCTCTGAGATCTGTCATAAGGAAAGTGAGAGTGTTGTCAGCAGCAACATGTCCTACACTCTCTAAATGACCACTGGAATGGAAGCTCCAAATTACAAACTCCCCACCTCTCACTCTGTTAACCTTGATCTACTTTAGCCTATCTTTGTGACTCCCTGGGGAAGCTATCAATGCCAAGAAGTACCATCTCATTCTTCATTCTAGAAGCCTTGACAGTCTTCCAAGAGAATAAATCGCTCTCTGATTTATTCCTGCAAGAATGTTTGAGGAACCTGCACAAGGAGGCTATTGTATGCATATACAAATAAATGACACAACTCAATGGTTTAATGCTATCTGCCAAGTTAAACTACTGCCGAGCAGCTGTGCACATTTAAAATGATGCTTGGCACAACTGGAGATCCATAAATCATCAGCTGCATACTTTCATCCAATTAAGGAAGTGAAATAAGTACAAAAAAAATCTACAAATTGAGATGTGTGTGAAGACATGGATGAAATTGTCATTCGGCTCTAAATGCAGAAATAAATAAGATTAAAAAAAATGAGTCCTTGTTTTGTTAATACTGAAGCTAGAACTTCTTGTCAGGGGGCCCAGTATTTTTGGCATTTCAAATCCTGGCATAAAATTGTGTTTCTGGGAGAGTTGTTTCAAGCTTGTAGCTTTGTCTCTGTGAAAGTAACAGGGCAAAATAGAAGTGAGGACTCACCCTGAAAAGCAATCATACTTAAAAACAAGTGGGAGCTAGGTCAAAATGTTAGAGCTCTCCAGAGAGAATTACAGCCAAATTATAGGTTCAAGGGCCATCCCTATGCAGTTAGCCTTTTCTTTGTCTTACCCACAGCAGGTCAGATGAGAACAACAGCAGATGCCTCCATTCAGCTTTTGTGGGTCTAACTCACATAGGTGTAGCTACAGAGGACTAGTCTGCCTGGAACGAAGGGAAATGACACTGGGATACTATAATAGAGGGCAACCAAGCATGCTGGTTTTTTAGATCTGAGGATGTTTCTAGAATGCTGGAGGTTTAATGCTAAAATGAAAACCATGAAACCCACACATGACCACATTGGAAACAGGTCAACTGATTTTTTTAAGATTTCGTAGGAAACCTGAATTATTCTAATCAAGTGATACATCAACCTTAGCAGTTCTGTTTCCAGCAACCACTATGAAGACAGCCATAGGTGCTTTGCCAGAGCTTCTGATCGGTACTCAGTCCAGTGGAGAATTTATGTTTAAGACAATCATAAAATCCCTGACTTAACTCGAAAGGAATTTGTCACTACTTGTCAGTTTAAACCCACTACTTTTAGGTACTTTCCTAACCTAACACTACATATAGGTGTGCAACTCTTTGCCAAGGCATTAAGCTGACATTTAAACAGTGATGGTTAGAAGAACATGGAGAAACAGCCTTCAAATTCCGATCCCATCTGCCCTCCAGGACTCCTCAGAGCACTTGAGTTTGATGTTGAGGTGATGATACTAGATTTCTCATGAGTTTCATGAGGTGAGAACTACATGCCAAGCAGTTGTAGCAGTTTAAAAGAAAGAGAAAGAACCTGCACAAGAGGATGAGATCGTAGTTCAGTGGTGAAGTGTGTATTTAGCATGCATCAGACTGTGAGTTCAATCTACACACACACACACACACACACACACACACACACACACACACACACACACACAAAGATCTTACAACACTTGTCCCAATGTTTCTGACCCTCCAAAGACCATCAAACCATTAGCAAGAAACTCTGAGGGGCAGAAGAAAGCTGCTAAGACCCATATGAGACATGGTTGCTCCCAGAAGTTACACATCATCATTCCTCTAACCTTAATGTGCAGATGAGAATCATGGAAACAAAGCAAAGCACTGAATTCCAAAGCTGACAGTGAGTTAAAGACTTGCAAACAGAGTCCAGAGTCCAACTTTAAGAGTGCTTAAGGTCAGACACAATTCTTTCTACCTAAATAATGTCTAAACCTTCTGAATTAACTTTGTAACCATTTCTGAAGTAATTACAGGGTGCCAGAAGTTGTACTGTATGGGGGCCTGACCTATTTTGCTGTGCATTCCATGGTCTCCTGTGTATGTCCCTTGGTTTCATTTTCCCTCTCAGACTATAGATTTTTCAAGGACAGGGCAAATATTGTAATTATCTGCTTTTCTTGCTCACACCAAGTTAGCACAATGTTTTACATACTTTTAATACTCCAAAACTTGTAGAGTGAATGAATGATTTGACTGGATGAATAAAGTCAATTCTGGGCCTAAAGCAGTGATTTTTTTCATACTTCTTTATAGTAAGCATCTCTTTATATCTCAAATCAGAGAAGAAAAAAAGTGAGGTCTCCAGGTGTTGCATGTTCACAGTTGGAATCAGGTGCTCCTAGGGAAGGGGTTGTTACAGAGAGACTTGCACCTGGATGTGTTAGTGTGATGTATATTTAGAGCATGGCTCTGAGTATCTCATAGCTGAGAACAAATGATCTTGCTATAGTGAAAAGACAAAATAAGTGTTTGAAACTGAACTTGGGCTTTGGTGAAATGAATAGCACAGTGAAAGTTCTTGTGTAAAGACATCTTCAATCTGCCTTCCAGTATCCCACATACTTAGGTAGAGACATCTCATTCTTCTCCATTTTCATTCACTCTTCAAGATGCAGCTCAGCCATCATCTCTAGGAAACACCCTTTGGCCATCTTCCCTAGGGATGATACCCATAGTAAGTTGAAAAGTGTTCCCTACAAATCTATGTTTTTCTAAGACCTGTGAAGGTATCCTTATTTTTGAAAGGGGTCATTTCAGATGGGATCAAATGAAGATGAGGCCACAGATTATGGTGTCTACTAAATTCATTATTACCAGTATCCTTGTAAGGAGAGGGAAATTCAGTTACTTATACAGAAGGGAAGGTTGGATATAGACAGAAACAGAGTCTGGAGTGGTGTGTCTACCAAGGAATGGAAGGGTTGCTAGCAACTCCCAGAATCTGGAAGAAATTAGAATGTTTCCGTGGAGCCTCCAGAAGGATTACTACCCTGCTAGCACACTCATCTTGCCTGCTTGTCTCCAGGACCATGAGAGAATAAATTTCTGTTGTCTTAAGCAACTTAGCTACAGCAACACCAAGAAGTCAAAATCTTTATTCTTCCTTCCTTCCTTTTTATTTATCCACCTGTTTCTTTGTTTCTTTGTCTCCTGCACTCCAGCCAGGCTTTCAACTGGACATGTAGTCAAGGATGACCTTGAACTCCTGATCATCCTGCTTCCACCTCCTGAGTTCTCAGGTTATAGATGTGTATTATTCAGTGCTGAGGACTGATTCAGGGTTCAGTCTAACTAAGCTATATCCTCAGAATATCCCTTCCCTTTCACATCCATCTGCACCATCACTGCCCCACCATACTTGAAGTTATTTGGTTGGTTGGTTGGTTGGTTTTGTTGTTGTTCTTTTTTTATTATTATTTTGCATATCCATCCCAGTGTTTTGTTGTTGTTGTTGTTGTTCTTATCTCACTTTCCACTTTGTGATTTCTGGAAGGCAAAATATGTTGTGTTTACTTTCATATCCTTAACATTATCTGCTATAAGAGCAATTTTGTGCTTTTTGTTCGGCTGAGGGGAGGGCCACTGGCGGGGCCTGGGGTAAGCCGCTGCACCCAGGAGTCCCACTGCTGCCACAAGGCTTTTTGCTCCTCTGGGCGCTACTCCCAACGCGAAGTGCTAGTAGCGAAGCAGATTCCTCTGGGACGACGCTGCCACGAGCAGCATCACTCTTTACACTGGAAAGCTGGCAGGTACTATGGGGAAAAAACAGAACAAGAAGAAAGTGGAGGAGGTGCTAGAAGAGGAAGAGGAATATGTGGTGGAAAAAGTTCTTGATCAGCGGGTTGTCAAGGGCAAAGTGGAATATCTTCTAAAGTGGAAGGGTTTCTCAGATGAAGACAACACATGGGAACCAGAAGAGAACCTGGGTTGCCCTGACCTTATTGCTGAGTTTCTGCAGTCACAGAAAACAGCCCATAAGACAGACAAATCAGAGGGAGGAAAGCGCAAAGCCGATTCCGATTCTGACGATAAGGGAGAGGAAAGCAAACGAAAGAAGAAGAAAGAAGAGTCAGAAAAGCCACGAGGCTTTGTCCGGGGTTTGGAGCCTGGGCAGATTATTGGGGCTACTGACTTCAGTGAAGAACTCATGTTCCTGATGAAATGGGAAAACTCTGATGAGGCTGACCTGGTCCCTGCCAAGGAAGCCAATGTCAAGTACCTATAGGTTGTCATATCTTTCTGCGAGGAAAGGCTAACGTGGCATTCCTACCCCTCAGAGGATGATGACAAAAAAGAACTAACCCTCTTGAGTACCAGCCCCTGTCACCTTTGACTGTGGATTTCAAATGGGGAAGGAAGGAGTTCTGCTTGTCTTGACACCATAGAGGTGGCTTGAGAAGATGTCCTTTGAAGAGCCAGCATAGTTTCTATGCCCTGCAGCAGCCCAAGTGCTTTAAATCGATTCAAGCAGTATAGTTTGCACACCCTTCCCAGTGGAGGGGAGACGGGTATGTGTTTCAAGGCAACTTATTCTGTGCTTTGCTAAGAAAGCTGAGGGCCTTCCATGAAGGACAAAACCTGCAGAACTGGGGTGTGGGAGAGCAAAGATACTGTCGATCTTCAAAGAGCATCTCCACACCCACAACCTTCTTCCCAATAGTGTTAACTGCATTTTTACAGCCCAGCATGTGCGTAGTTTTTGGCTATTACTGGTATATTCATTGGGGGTGGGAGGGTTGGGGCAGGGAGGAAGGGAGATGGGTAGAATCATTTTGGTTAAAATTTGGGGCCTGATTGGGGAATTGGTGAAACAGTAGAAAGAAACAGCTAACTAATGAATTGGTTCTATGTCAATATTTTGCCTTTTCAAAAAATTTCATTGGCATCATTAATGAGGATTGAGAGACGGTTTTAAAAAAAATCAGTGAATGCTAAAATCTATAGCCAAGGTGCTCACTACCTGAGCTCATTGTGGCCCACAAAGGACAAAGCCAGTTCCCTGAGTTACCAAAGCTGCCATTTGAAGATGGAAAGTGACTGAGAAGGGAGTTTTCTTGGAGAGTATATACAGACCGACTGTTCTGCCTTTAGAGGTGCTAATTCCTGAAATTGGAGAAAAATACCTTTTTACAGTTCTGGAGTTACCAATATCAGTTTGACCATCCAAGCTCAAGTGTTGCAGGAGAGCCCATGGGAGATGGGAGTGGAGGGCCTATGCTCTTAGGGTTGACTCTTGGAGCTCTTGTTTTTTGTTTTGGGTTTTTTGTTTGGTTTTGTCATTTTGGTTTTGTTTTTTGTTTTTTGGGGTTTTTTGGGGGGGGGGGCTTCAGCTTTGAACCCTGAAACTGCTCTTGGCAGTTTCAGTTACTGACAGCACAAATTCCATTGAGTCAGTTCAAGGGTTGAATGACTCCACAAACCCTGATCTCAGGAGATAAACTTTCATATTGGGGTAGTAGTTCACTTGAGAATACAAAATCTTCAGATTAACTTATGTCCAAAATACTGTTTTGAATCATGAGATCCATCAATCTTTAGTATTGTCTAGACCTGCATCTAGAACTACATTGTAAAATCTTTTAAAGCATGTATTAGATGTGTGTGAAATTTTTGTTTAAATGTAAACTTTATACTATACTGTCAGTTTTTGTCTTAATAAAACTATAGGTTTATTTTTTAAAAAGAGCAATTTTGTATGTGTATGCAACAAAATTCAAATGTGTCATGTGTCTGAGTCAGGCTTAACTGTCAGCTTGACACAGTTTAGAAGGGAATCTCAAATGAAGGACTGCCTAGATTGGATTGGCCAGCAGACAGGGATTGGGTAATTGTCTTGACTGCAGGAGAGCCCAGTACACTGTGGCCAGCACCATTTCCTGGGCCAGTAGTCCTGAGATGTACAAAACAACTAGCTAAATGTGAACCAACATAAAATGTTCCTCTGTGATTTCTGCTTCAAGGCCCTGATTGAGTTACTACACTGGCTTTCCTCAATGATAGGCTATGACTGGAAGTATGAACCAAACAAATCCTTTCTTCCCTAAATTCTTTTTTTTTTTTTTTTCCCTTTTCCCCCCCCTTTTTTTTTTTTTTTTAAGACAGGGCCTCTCTACATTGTCCTATCTGTCCTGTAATTCATTATATAGACCAGGCTGGCTTCAAATTCACAGAGATCTGATGGGGGATGTTCTTCTGTATATATATTTCTCTTATTGGTTGATGAATAAAACACTGTCCAATAGCCAGGGAGAAAGCATAGGCGGGGCTACCAGACCAGAAGACTGGAGAGAGGAAGGCAGAGAAGGGCCACCAAGAGACACTATATAGAGACTGGCTGGGAAGACAGGACGCACCCGGCCTATATAGTAAGATTTTCTCAAACAAGCAAAAAAATAAAAATAAAAATAAAAAATCCAGCCTCAAGCTCCCCCACACTATGTGTGTGCAGTGCCCATGGAGGCCAGAAGAGGGTGCTCCACCTCCTGAGACTGGAGTTACAGATGGTTGTGAGCTGTCATGTGGTCCCTGGGAATTAAACCAAGGTCTTGGAGAAGTAGCCAGTGCTCTTAACCACTGAGCCACCTCTCCAGCCACTAAGCTGTTTGTCTTTCATATGTAAAGGGGTGAATAGTTAGCAGCTTGTCAGTAGGACATCATACACTAACTCAACAAAGGAAGCCTTTGGTGATTCCTAGCTTCCATAGTAACTTGTCCTTTCTCTTTTCAGCAAATGTATGACCCTAACAGATTATCATTCTAACTGAATGTTTGGTTGGTCAGTTAAAAAAAAAAAATAGAGCTATTAAGATGAGTGTGTGAATTAAGAAGTTCTTTTGTTTTTCTTAACAAGACATGGTTTAAACTCCAGATGCTAAATTATTAGCCATTATTACAAAATTCCTCTTATTTGATGACATCTGTGGCTAAATGTTTGCGTCTTCTTTTGTCCATGACTTATTGCATTACAATAGATACTGTGTACTTTCTTCAATATGCTATTGAGTAAATGGAGGTTTAAAACAAGGAAAGGATGCCTGAATTACCTTGTTTTGTCCTCAGTTCCCTCGCTCTAAGTGTGTGTGTGTGAGAGAGAGAGAGAGAGAGAGACAAAGAGACAGAGAGAGAGACAGAGAGAGAGAGAGGAGAGTATGTGTGTGTTATTTGAGAACATGCCTTCCATAGTAAACTATGCTAAGATGGCTGAATAAAATGCCAGGCACATTTGCTTCTTTTCTAAAGTAGAAGTCACCTGAAAGCCTAGACTATGATGAAGTCATCGAAAGCAGGAGTTGTAAGGACATGCTCCCTTTCTGGGGTGGCAGAAAAGGAACTCCATTCTCACTACTGAGCAATGAGGATTCCTAGTTAATTTGGGTGTGTGAGTACCAAAGGGGTTGAGAACAGAACAAAGCCAGATAAGGGGCTTAGACTGTTAACTAATATCTTAACGTCTTGGGAGATGCCTAAGTGAGAAAACAGCAATTAAAGCCATCACATCCAAGAGTCCCACCTGAAAGCTAAAGAGAATGAAACCAAATGCAGAGGCAGTTGTATTGTGTGGAGTATTAAAATTGGGGGCTCGGCCAGCCATCAAGAGGACTCCTGCCCTCCTGAAAACACATCTTCATAAACAAACTCACACAGTTTTTATCAAGTTTACCCATTTCACAGACACCAGTGGTTTATGAACTTTTATGGATAGTGTTTGTGTTTTTGCAAACAGAAGGGGAAAATGGGTGTACAGAGAACTATTGTTTGACTTTAGTGTATAGATGAACTTTGATGGAACTTAGTAAAACTCAGAGTGTTTATTACCATGATCAATGGCTCCTTAGGGAGTCATTTCCCTGCCCTCCCAGCTGGAGGTACAGGGCTACAGGGACAGCACTAGGTACAAACAATAGGTTCTGTGAGTTCAAGAAGCTGAGGTTGCCCTTACTGAGTGGGTGGTATCGGCATCCATCCCAAACAGCACATAAGTCAGACAGAAGTGACGGATTCCTGGGCAATGTGGAAATAACAAAGGGTGCAATATTGAAAGTGCACTTGAATCACCCAAAGCGCTGAGGGTTTTTGTGTCAACAGTTTCCATGGTTGAAAAGCCACAGCCCGGGGAATTTCCTGATCAGATCCAGGACACAAAGTTAACACTAAGGAACCCAGTGGTATTACCCAAGCTAGGCTCCGCAGTGTGTTTGGCCAACTGGATCTATTAGAAAGCAAGCTGATGTTTTGTCCTTGGTAAAACAAAAGGGAATTAACTTAGTTTGCTTGAATGTATTATTATTATTTTAAATACAGCTAAGTTGAGTGTTTCTGGTCCATTCCAGTTCTTCTACTGCCAGGGACACTGCTTTTTCTCTGTGATGACACAGCATAAAGGTATTTGTTGCAGCAAACTTTCAATGAGCACATTTGGCATCTTGTCCCTTGACAGAAGACAATGGTTTCCTCAATTTGGGGAGGTTTGGTGACAGGTCCTCTGGGTAACCCTTTCTTACTGTCTTCACTAAGAATACACTAAGGCCACCCTTTGCTCTGCATTTCACTTCAAAGTCACTCTGCAAGAAATCTGACCGTGGCTAACGTTGCCTAACATTGGCTAATGTTGGCTGAGTGGGTCTGTCTCACGGCTTCCTTTGGCTGGATGCTTACATTAAGTCCATTTTCCAATGCCTACACACACTATTGGCAGCAATGTGGCCACAGCTGGCTGTTTCGTAAAGTTAGGGTCCTGGTCACCGTATCTTAGAATCACACAAAGATAACAAACCTAAACAACTACTTTATGACTGTTGACTGTCATGTTCTACATCCTGACACCAGGACATGCCTTGGATCCATCCCCTGCACCCAGAGATGTGCGGCAGCATTCAGAGTCAGTTTGCCAGGCTGAGGATATGGATACGTGATTGGTCCTGACATTGGGTGGAGGATGATCAAAAGCCCTTCAGAAACCAGCCTCCTGGGGAAGATGCCTCCTCTTTTGTCTTCCCGGCCCAGTGTTTCTCTCCCTGCCCCCTGCCAAGGTAGGGACTGTCATCGCGGCGCTGCTCCAAGTGCATACTTCTAATGGAGGGAAATGAAAAGCTGAACTTCATTCTGTATAACAATAGATCCGAAACCTGTTGATCATCAGAATCCCTTGATCACGCGAGGAGGTTTAAAGGGGAAAAAAATCATTTTTATGATCCCAAACTCAGAGGCGGAGTAGTCTCGCCTGGGGTAAAATTTGCAGTCTGTAATTTGAAGTTGCTCCAGATGACTGCGACGAGCAGCCATA